ACCTGAGTCAACTTGGGTTGTCATACAGAAAGGGGTTGACCAACATACACCTGAGTAATCAACATGATGCCTTATTCACCGTTGCCATGGATATCAGTGTTGCATTTCAAGGATATGAAGACAGGTAAGCCATATTGACATCTAATATGTACATGTATTGAGATATTCGTTACCATGACAATTGGAAATTCTCAAATCAAGCTGGAACTTAAATCGTGATGTCTACTAAATAGCTGTGCACAATTGCATTGCATTGTTATTGTATTGCCAGAAATATATTACCGTAAAATATCTAATTGAGGCCACGGCTTAATTTAAAAAGGAAATCTCCGCCTTCTCACTTGAAAAACAAAAAGTCGGGGGTCGGCTTCTATTAGATAAGTTTGGTTGAATTTGAAAGACATTTTCTATAGATATGCAAATGAGGGGTTAATGATATGCACGCACTAAATTGAGACATTGTTTTGATTTCTGGCGTCAAGATTGGTAAAGTGAAAGAGGTCAGGAATAATCATTTGAAATACATACAAACACACACACAAGCACGCATGGTATTTTTGTACGGTAGTCCTCTTTTTGACTCCCATGTGCGAAGCACAAAATGGGAGTCTTTGCAGTTAGTGTGTCTGTATGTGTGTATGTGTGTGTGTATGTGTGTCCGACTGTTCCACTGCTATCTCAAGAACCATACATCGGTTTTTGATGAAACTTGGTGCATAGATGCTCTGGGCCAATGCGCAGATTTGATTAGGTTTTGGTAAAAATCCATGCTCGTTAATTACCTAATTTGCATGATAATTAGCTATTTTTTAGCTGTTCTATGACTGTTCCACTGATATCTAAAGAACCACTCATTGGATTTTGATGAAACTTGGTACATAGATGCTCTGAACATATGCGCAGATTTGATTAATTTTTGGTAAAAATCCTTGCATATTAATTACCTAATTTGCATGATAATTAGCTATTTTTTAGTGGTTCCATGACTGTTCCACTGATATCTAAACAACCACTCATTGGATTTTGATGAAACTTGGTACATAGATGCTCTGAACTAATGCTAGGTTTTGATTAGTTTTTGGTAATAATCCGTGGATACTAATTACCTAATTTGCATAATGATTAGTCAATTTTCGGTTTTTCCACTGATATCTCAAGTACTAATCATCACATTTCAATGAAACTTGGTACATAGATGTCATACGACACTGCACAGACCTGATAGTTTTTATGGTAATATCAGTACATATTAATTACCTAATTTGCATAATTAATTAATTTTCAGCATT